AAGCCAGTGCAAGGACTCCAGGATAGGAGTAATGTGAACACTTGCACTGGACCTGGTCAGTATTCTGGCTGCCAAATTTTGAACATACTGCAGTTTGTTCAATGTAGATTTAGATACCCCAGCGAGTAGAGTATTACAGTAGTCAATTCGAGAGAACACACATGTGTTGATCAGCTTTTCAGCCACAGTTATGCTGGGTTTTATGTGTGTAACTAGTTTATTGAGGGATGCTGAGGCAAGAAGAGAGAGATTGGAGAGAAGGGAACCAGAAAAGTTGGATAAGGAGGGAGGAGGTATGGAAATGATATGCGTAATAAGGATCATAAGGATGTAAAGAGGTATTGAAGTTACTGGACACATTGTAATCCCATCATTGCACAAAATGTTCAAGGACTTCACACAGTTAATATAGTTGGGGGAAGTGCTTGGAACTGTTTCTGCAATATAAAATTCTGGTCTCTTAAATTGTTTATTTAAAGTATTTATTGGTTATTCATATGAAAAGACCCCCTCTGTCATCCACTGTTTCAATATGCAGTACATTGGTGTGTTACCTGGGTGTTTGGTCCCGGTCCTTGAGGGCTGATGTGTCTGCAGATTTTCATCCTAGCTCAGCTCTTAACAACAGAAAACAGGCCATTATGGGGTTTATTTAACTAAACAACATCAACATGTACTGGTGCTTTCAGGAGTCCTAGAAAACCTGTAGATAAGCTAACCCTCGAGGACCAGGACTGGATCCTTCTTTGCTACTGCGTTGAACCTAAAATGAACTCAGAACAATGTTGAGTTCACACTACTTTAAAATGGTGACTTTTTTTGACTCAAAGCCGTATGCCTTTGCACTTTAACAGTTGTCAAAGTGAAGAAACATACATGCATATTCACTTGCTGCATTGACATAATCTGCACAAGGAACAATAGTCATAAGGGCCAATTACCCGTCATGTAACAAGCAGGTCTAATTGGTCCCTATTACCATCATTTTCCATTTTCAAGCATTACTTACAAGGACTTACATCAGAAACTACAGTACATCCAGAACTGTGCTGCTCGAGTGCTGACATGATCAGAAAAACCCTAACATGTTTCTCCTGTGCTGAAAGACTTGCACTGGTTACTGACTTCTTACAGGATAGACTTTAAAGTTCTCTTGTTGAATTACCAGGCGCTACTGGTCTGTCTCCCATGTACCTTCAAGAGTTACTGTCCCCACATGTCCCACTTTGCTCACTTCAGGAAGCTGGCTCTAGGCTCCTCAGTGCACGAGAGGGGATGTAGCCTTTTCAGCAGTAGCCTCCAGTAGCTGGAAAACACATCCTGGCCATATTTAACGGCACCCTCTGTGTTTAAATCCTGCCTTAAGACTTTCTTGTTCTCTATGGCCTTCAATTCCTAAGAAAATGCTTCCCTTTAATTTCACAATTTATATATATTTTTTGCTTCTGCACATTTTTATATATAATTAATGTCAATTGCCTTCAGAATGCTCTGATTGAAATAGGCTTTATGATAATAAAATTGATTGATTGGTTGGTGGGGTACCAGCACATTCTTGCAAACAGCTGAATGAGTGGCTAAGTGACACACATGAAACTAAGGGACTCTGAACAGGCTCTGTCACTCAGATGTCAGGTCAATGGGCCCTCAGATCACGTGACTGGGTCCCACAGGGCTAGTTTGTTATAGTTGGCAGTATTGCATCAGTGATGAGCCACTTCCACCACCTGTGATGAACACATGCCACTTCAGGGTGTCAGGGCTGTGCAGAACAGCCAAGCATGTAAGTTCCATCTCTGCCCCTAATTGAGCTAATCTTTGGTTTCAATGGATCAATGTAACATTTTTTCCCACTAGCCTCCAGCTGCTGATGCTGTCTGGACCTCTAGGACCGGAGTTGGTCCAGCCATGAATTAGGACTCTCGGTCATTTCTTTGATTTCATTCCATGTGTCACTTGGAAACACAGAGGAGGCCCGTATCACTTATTTGCACAGTGAAAGAGCATGACGTGAACAAAAATGATTTTTAAAATGTATTCTGTTTAATTGTACTTGTTCAATTATAGGCTGTACCAAGAAATGACGGCACTTGCTGAAGTCTATTATTATCAGCTTTAGCACTATTTTAAGGAAGATGTCAAGTACCACACCTGCTGTAGGCTGGAGAGACTGAAAACACCACCTACGTGCACAGTTCCAGTAGGAGTATAACATGGTGTGAGCAGTTATAATCAGGAATCCCATGAGGGCTGTGATAAAAGCATAGGTATTGAAAATACCTGTGCTTTCACAGGGGCCTCTGTGCTGGAAGGATAATAACAGGAGTAGCCTTCTGCAGTTAGCAGTGTGATGAGATCCTAACCCGATTAGTTTTTTTTTAGAAAATTGGACAGCCATCCATCCATCTTCTAACTGCTTTTCCAATTCAGGGTTGTGGAGCAGCCAGAGCCTATCCCATCAAGCCACTAGTGCGAGGCAGGATGCAGCCTGGATGGGACGTCAGTCCATCACAGGGCAGACAGATAGACACACTCACACCAGGCCCAGTTTCCCCAGAAGACAATTAACCTACCAGAACTACATTTTTCTTGTCTTGTTTTCTATATTGCACACTAATAATTTATGCCATATATATAAATTAACACTTTTTGATTACGTCTAGTGATAACATAGGCAAAATAGACTAGACGTATTATAGTCTTATGTTCCTTGGTGGTAAAGAAAAGTATTTTTAGACACAGGATCAGTTCCTTTTGTCCAAGGAACTTGTCATTGACATCAACAAAGCTAGATTTGCAGCGTTTCACCTGTAATTTTGCTGTAATTTAATATTTTCCAATAATCGTATAGCATATAACTACCTACAAATATGGCTGCCCTCTTTTAATCCTTTAATGCTTTATATTGATCATATTTTAAGCAAGGAGACATTGTGGCCGAACTTTTCCTTGACTTGCGTGTCTTTGTGTTCTAGTTGAAGATGACTAATGTATACTCCTTTCATGTTTTTTTTTGCTCAAATACAACATTCCTTTCAGCTCACTCCAAGAGCTACCTGCATAATAATTTATTATAATTGTTTAATCAATTCCGCATAGATTGCATTACATAAACAAACGTTCAATAATACGTTAATATAAAACTTGCATTTCTCGGGCCAATGTGAAGTACACAGAATGACGTATTCATTTCCTCATTCAATAATATGTCTTACGAGTTCGGCTCACCTTGCTGTAATGTGTGCAACAAACTGAAGGGTTATGTGTAGTGCTTCTCTCATTGCTTCGAAAGCATAGTGTATCCAAGCAACAGGCTTTGCAAACTGAGAAAGAGAAGGATATGAATTAGGCTTTTCAGGGAAGCGCCCGTTTTGTGCTAAAATTAAAATGGAAAAATAATCTGGATTACTTTTTTGAGTTACACAATGCACTTCAAATAACCCCCGAGGAATACGGAAGGTTACGCTCATCACAATTTTAAATTAAAAATGTCGTTTGCATGTGGAATACAGGTAGGAGTAATTTATCTACAACATCAGCATTTAGCTGGTCATATACAATGCTGATGATGTGTGAATGTGAATAATGTGGGCTTCAAAATGTGTATTATTTAAAAAACGTTATAGTTTATGACTTTACATATTTTGTGCTTAACCCTAGGTGATGAAGATTAATTAACAAATGGAAATTGCAGACAGTTTAATCCTCGGACCGGTGTATTTCTTTGATCAGGTATAAGAAATGCTTTCTTTCAAAGAATACTCGATAAGGCATTTTTTTATTTCCGTTTTCTATACAAACCTTTGTAATAATGCTTTAGCCTGCAGGATGCGCAAAACGCAAAAAACGTTCAAGAAAACCTATAGAAGAGCTGCCTCCTGACTTGAGATATGTTGCAATCAATCCACGCTTGGCTGCTTTCCTTAGAAGGTAAAAATAATTCTTAAAATAAAAGTGTTTGTGACATGATTTATCACGAAATGCAATATAACAAGTTGAAGAGAGTTGTTCACGTAAAATATTTGGAAGCTATTTCAATAGAGATGGAAAGAGAGTAGGTGTCAGATAAATCAAAATAAATAAATCCTTATCTTTATTCTATTTCGAGATTGTAACATGTAAAACAACCCACAGCTGCCCCTGCAGTTCGGAATTTATGTCCACAAACTGCACGGTTACTCTTGTGAGATGAACTGAATTAAATAAAGGTGCAATTAAGATTATTTGTGGGAAAATCCTGGCTTGCAAGTAGATATATTCATATCGATATATATTGACCTTAACTCGTTACGCTCTTTAAACTGGCACGAAGCCCCCAAAGAACTGCTACATTTACTCTCCTGTGAATCGACAGGGGTAAAAAGGGTGCAGAAGAAGTGGCGGGAGAGGATAACGAAGAAATCAAGTCTAAAGAAGGTGTCAAAAAGAAAGAAAAAACAGCGGTTCTGCCCGAGACGGGTAACGAGCCCGGAAGCGTGGCGAGCCAGGATAAAGACCCCGCTCCAGGCGCCGCGCAGTGCGGCTCGACGCCCGCAGAGGATGCCGAGACCAGCCCCGTGGATGAGTACAAGTACGGCGCTCCGATCTTGCTAGCGGAGCTGGGGAGGATGCTGGAAGAGTGGGAAGGCTGCGGAGAGGGCATTTTCCCCCGGGGGCTGGTGAACGTCCTCTCCTACAGCTGGAAAGAGCTGACCGAGGGGGCCTTGCACGCCAAAAGGCAGTGGCCGTCGCTGGAGACTCAGGGCGAGAAGCATGGAAAGCAGAGGAGCTCAGTGCCTTCCGACAAACTCTCTGACGACTCCCCGGCAGAAAAAAGCCAGCGGGGCAAGAGCAAAGCAAAAAAGAGAGTCACACTTCAAGGGACCACACAAGAGTCCACAAACGTGTTGAATAAGCAGACAACAGCAACAGGGTCGAAACGTGAGTGCTACCTGTTGGTATAATGTTGTATTCACTTTCTTAGTGCCCTTTGATATTTGAATAGTTTAAAAGCAACTTAGAACCTCTTTCTGAAATCAGTATACAGTATGTCTTATAGAATACATAGGCTTGTTTTACAATGTTTCCAAAGGAAAACATGTTTATCTTTTAAGAGCAATCAATTCAATGCTACAGGGGTCTGCACCCCAACCCAAATGGGGTGTTGATAAAATTAATGCTGTCTGTTTTAGATAAGAAGTTCTCTTCATCAAACAATAACTATATATTCACTTGAATGCACTGATAAATAATGAAAAGTAGTGTAAAACATTTATCATCTCAGGAGTCATACTGTAGAAGGTCATACTTTTGAAAAGAAAAGAAAGCACATCTCCAGTTACTGTCTGTCATATACCACAGGGAGCTGGCAGCTGACCGAGGTGGCATATAGGAAAGTAGGTCGTCTTACAGGGAAACCACATGCTGTGTCATTGTAGTGACAACACTCAATACTCTATTGACTGCTTGAATCATTTCCTGCCTTCAACATTGACTCATTCAAATATTCATGTGGTACTTCAGAAAGACAGATGGGGGAGTCATGGTTACCGGGCCCCTAGTATCGTTTGACTACTTTGAACTTCATTGGAAATTAGCAAATGTTTGTTTTAGACCTTGACTGCAAAACAAGTCAGAGGTGCTGGTTGTTTCTGTTGAAAAGTATTTGCAGGAAATGGTACTTCATCCTTTCCACCACTTGTTTGAAACGTAATGTGAGTTGACAAAAGACATGGTTTGGGTTTTCTGGTTTTCACAAATCTGTTGAAGGTGATTCTCAACATTGCAAATATTGACACCCGAGGGGCCAAGTTATAAAGTGAAAAAACTTAGTCTTCCATGACCTAACATGCTCTAATGTATCTGTACCAACTTCCTAAGGTGAGAAGAAATCCAGGAAGTCAGACAACACAACACAACGAGATCATGCAGTAGATTCAGGTAACTATTCTACTATACTAGCTATTGGCAAGTGTATAACTAACAGTTTTATTAACTTATTGTTTCTTAAATGCTGAGTATTTATGATTGATAACATACTTTAGATTTGGCTGTCAAATTGAACGGAGTTGTCTTATTCATTAACTTTGTTGCTTCCCTTAAGGATGATGCTATAGACTATAAAATACTTAGATAAAGCATCTTGTGTTGATTAAAGCATTGATGTGTATATAAATACACATGCCTATATAGCTGGATATACAATATCATAAAGTAAAATTTTCCTCTTTTCCTAGCTTGTATTATATTGGGAGTTTTATGTTTCTGTGATTCGCTCTCAGTATCGAGTGCTGAGCAATGTTTTAAGTACTGAATGCCAACATTTTTGGAAACATTGTATTTCATGAGGGAGTAGCATGGAAATGTGCTGCATATATTTACAGGGCCTATATAAAGTCTGCACCACTTTTCACAATTTTCACCTTTTCTTGCCTTCTAGACTGGTATTAAAATCCATTAAAATATTTGTTTTTCATTGATTTGTCTACACACCTACCCCACAACATCCAAATGAAATCCATATTCCTGTTATGGGGATGTTTTTACTTAAACTAGAAAGTTTAAGAAAACGAATTAAAATAAAATGGAATAGCTGGGTAGTATAAGAAGTGTCCATACTCTTGTCTTAGGAATCTCATATTTGTTCAAGTGTAGCCAGTCGCCTCACAATCCTACACCAAGTTTATTAAAAATTAATTGGCTGCATCAAATTGTAGTGATTTATATGATTTCAGGATAAATTCAGCAGTGCTAGTAGTTTCCCTCTTCCCTCTGGAACCAATGAACTTTCAAAGGAAATCCAGGACGAAGCCATGGAGAGGCACATTAGAGATTCGAGAATGGTATAAAAAAGTGTCACTTGAATCTCAGTAAAGAGAATTATAAATGAAGTTAAAGCTACATGACACTGCCAAGACCGTGCCGAGATCAGGCTGTCCCTCAAAACTGGATGACCAAGCAGGAAGAAGACTGATCAGAGAGTCTACCAAGAGGCGAATGGCAACTTTGAAAGAGCTACACTGGTCAAAGTGTGCTAAGTGACTACCAATATCTCAAACGCTCCTCAGATCTGACTAGCATGGCAGGATGGAAAGAAGGCAGCCATGACTGAAAAACAGCAACGAAGCCTTCAAGTTATACTGCCAAAATGTTTGGTGTCTGACAAAACAAAGATGGAGCTTCTTGACCTAAATGCAAAGCATTACGTTTGGCGCAAACCGAACACAGCGCATCACGCACAGAACAGCAGCCCAGCTGTGAAGAGTGGTAACGGCAGCTTCATGTTATGGGGGTGTTTGTCATCAGCAGGGACTGGCGCACTTGTCAGGACAGAAAAGAAAATGAATGGAGAAAAGTGCAGGAAAGGCCTTGAGGGAAACCTGCTCCTCTGTAAGAAAGCTGAAACTGGGACAGATGTTCACATTTCAGCATGACAGCAACCCAAAGCACACAACCACAGGAGCAGTGGAATTGCTGAAGAACAGAAAGGTATATGCTTATGAGTGGCCCTGTCAGGGCCCTGAGCTAAATCCAATAGAGAATCTGTGTCATGACTTGAAGACGTCTGCCTGTCAGTACTTCCCAAGGGATTTCTCTGAGCTTTAACAGTTTATAAAGAAGAATGGTCAAATATTGCAAAGTCTAGGAGCACAAGATGGGTAGAGACCTAACCTAACAGATTCACAGCTGCAATTGCTGCAAAAGGTGCTTCCATCAAGCATTAACTCAGAGGTGGTGGAGACTTATCCAGTTTTTATATTTCAGTTTTGTATTTAAATACGTATATTATATATGTTTGATATATAAATATATTTTCCTAAAACATTCTCTCTTTAAAATTGTAGAGTATGGTGTGTATATAAGATGAAGAAATCCTTTTTAAATGCAACTGACACAACAAAAGGTGAAAAATGTTCAAGGGTGTGTAGACTTTATAAAGGCACTGTTTATTATTCCCGTGCACCTTTGTGCAAATATTTAGATATGGTGTGTTAGATTATATATTTGTGTGATATAATTTAACACAAGTTTCATGGCTCTCAGCTCAGGTGTCCCATTTACCAGTGACCATAAGTTTCTCCATGTCTTCAAAGAACTGTGAAGAGCAAGGTAATGCACGTCAACTGAAATGTGACAATTAAAATGAAGAAAATTAAATATATTAGTATGTTGACAGGGCATTTAGAAAGGTTATAAAGGAGAGGAGGCTATTTGGCCATCTAACCCATTTGATAGTTTGATAGTACTTAATGAATCCAAGGATCTCATTCAGCTGTTTCATGAAAGTCAGGGTATGAGCTTCAACAACATGGCTGGCTAGCTTGTTCCATACTCCCATAACGCTTTGTGTAGAGAAATGCCTCCTAGTCTCCCCTTTAAATGTGCTTTCACTTAGTTTCAACTTTTGTCCTCTCGATCATGTTTCATAGTCAGTTCTGTAGAAACTGACTGGGTAGACTTTATCAGTGCCTTTGAGCACTTTGTACACTTGTATCAGGTCCCCTCGTATTCCTCACTGTTCAAAACTATAAAGCTTTTGTGTCTTCATTTCCTTACTGTAGGACATTCCCTTAATCTCTGGACTGTGTCAGCTTGCTCTTCTCTGGAATGATTCAAGACCAAAAATATTGTTTCTGTAACACAGAGACAAAAATTGTACACTTCATTCTGAAGGAGGCCTCACTAGTTTGTTATTCAGTTTTAACATAACACCCCCTGATTGACATTCTGTTCTTTTAACTAATTGACATAACCACTCAAGTCTTTTTCATTAGTAGCCTCTTCTAGCTCTACATTTCCCATTTTGTATTTGCAGTTTTTGTTTTTACTACCTGCATGCAACATCCTGTATTTTCAATGTGATCTGCCAGGAGTTTGTTACTTTAATCTAAATCTTTTTAATTTTATTTACTGCTTCTATGGAGTTTGCTAATTCTCTTAATTTGGTATCGACCACAAATTTGACATGTTTACTCATTATTCCAGAATCTTGAATATAAAGTAAGAATTCCAGTTGTCCTAGTATAGATCCCTGTGGTGCTCCACTAATTACATCAATCCCCATACAGTGACAGGTTGAACAGGTTGTTAGTTTTGCAGATAAAATAAACATTTCTTAAGTGTGATGTCTATTTTTCCCCAGTATTTTTTCTTTTGGTTTCAGTTCATATGTACTGTGCATATAAAGAGCAAGAGAGAACTCTGAGAGTTTATTCCAGGACTGTAAATTATTATATTTAACTTCATAATCATTAGAATATAGGTGGTATAGGTGGTATGTTTCTAAGTATTAGCCTTTCCACAGACAAAGTGAATCTAGTCCTTATCTAGGCGTTGTCACTGAATGATGTGTGATGCGGTTTGTGTTATTTAGGTTGGATTGTCCTGCAGCAGGAACCGAAGCCTGATGACCCAGAGTGGACGTCACTGTGTGGATGGGCTGTAGAGAGACTTCGACTTGCTCAAGTGCCGATGCATGTGGTGTTGTCCAGTAGTCAATATTACAGAATGGCATATCGTCAGCAAATGCACTGCAGCAAAGCAAGAAGCTCTGCCTGTCTTTGGGACGGCTATGTTACTTTAAGCAATGGGTAACATTGCTCAAGGGCTGCACGGTGGAGCAGTGGTTAGCATGGCTGCCTCACAGTGCTGGGGCCCTGGGGTCCTTATTTCTGGACTTGGGGTGCTATATTTACAAGGCTTGATCTTGCCATGTTTATGTGGGTTTTCTCCCACACGTCCAAAAACCTTCTGGTAGATTAATTGTCTTCGGGGGAAAATTGATCCTGTTATAGGTTTGTGTCTGTGTCTGTGTCTGCCCTGTGAGGGACTGGCGTCCTGTCCTGGGTGTAGCCCACTTCTCTCATACTGCGTACCGGGATGGGCTCTGGCTCCCCTGCAACCCTGAACTGGGTGAAGCAGTGAGAAAAGGGGTGCATGGATGGTTTTTATTCAGTTATTTCTCCTATGAAAATTATATATCGCCATATCGCCCTGCAACTCACAACTGGCAACCCAACTAAGGTCGCTTCTGGAAGTGGTGTTAGTGGGGCCAGCAGGGGGCGCTCACCCTGCGGTCCATGTGGGTCCTAATGTCCCAGTATAGTGACGGGGACACTATACTGAAAACAGGCGCTGTCCTTCGGATGAGATGTAAAACCGAGGTCCTGACTCTCTGTGGTCATTAAAAATCCCAGGGCGCTTCTCGAAAAGAGTAGGGGTGTAACCCCGGCGTCCTGGCCAAATTTCCCATTGGCCCTTACCAATCTTGGCCTCCTAATAATCCCCATGTATGAATTGGCTTCATTACTCTGCTCTACTCCCCACTGATAGCTGGTGTGTGGTGAGCGCACTATGGCTGCCGTCGCATCATCCAGGTGGATGCTGCACATTGGTGGTGGTGAAGGGGAATCCCCATTAACTGTAAAGCGCTTTGAGTGGAGTGTCCAGAAAAGTCCTATATAAGTGTAAGCAATTATTATTATTATTATTATTATTATTATTATATAACCAACCAGTACTAGTTTTATGTCCCAAAAGAAATATCCAGCGATATTCCTGAATACTTTCTTTGCTTACAGTTTCACATTTCTAGGATGATATGGTATTTCTAGGTGGCAATCAGTAGATTAAAGGAAAGCAGGACAGAGCAGAAGAAGGGATGGTTGTAATATACTGTATTTCTGTCACTTTCTTCCGCAGAAAGGAACAAATTGCGAAGATGGAGGAACAAGGATTCACCAAGCCAATCCTCCTCTATCATTATGGGGATGCTAGAAAGGCCACCATTGCCAAACACAAGAAGGAGCTCAATAAGAACTGCCTGTTTGCTCTTATCAATGGGAGGCCTTGTCTTCCTGAACTGAGGCAGGAAGACAAATCATTACAGAAACTGCACTATCGAATCAACGATGGAACTTCATTCATATAGTATCCTTTCTCTTGTCTGTATCAGTAAAACAGTGTGCAACCGACTTAAGTGTTGTCAGTTAGTGTGCAGTACTAAAGATGGTGTCAAGCTCACATTTAAATGTGTACTGAGGTTATGTTCAACCTGATGTTTGAACTATATATATATATTTCTGTTTAAGGATAAACTCATTCATTGCTATATAAGCAAACTTGGTTCTGTAGGCAAAAACCAATTAGATACACGTAAAAAAGTCTCTGTTTTGTTCAAGCTGCTTGTACTGTAACTTTACGCAAACCGATTGAGTTTAAGTAGTTCTCTGAAGTACTTGAATAATTTGACACCATAAAGTACGTTACAACAAGTAGAATTTACATATATTTCTTTTTTATGCAGTCTGTTATGTTAAATGGATTGAGAAGCAGTTATAAGGAGAAATTAACATAATCTCTAGTACACATGAATAATCAATATGACATAAATTAAGAAATTCTTAGTGAACAGTTTTATTCTGTTAGTTAATAAATCTCATGCAGTCAAAGACAGAATAAAATCCAAAACTGTAAAAGTAAGACGGAGCATCAGGCTGGCATTTGTATTGCAAAAGAAAAGGTAAAGGTTTATTTGATGCTGAAAGGAAAAGAAAAGAGACAATTTTTCGGCTGTGGAGCCTTCTTCAGGTGTGACGCCTGAAGAAGTTGAAGGAAAATAGATGGTCACACCTGAAGAAGGCTCCACAGCCAAAACATCCTGTCTCTTTTCTTTTCCTTTCAGCATTGAATAAGCCTTTACTTTTTCCTAGGTATGTACTGTATATGTACTGCTCGTTTCAATGAGTACTCATGAGTGGTTATTTAACGAGGGATGAGTGTAGTTGCAAACCAATAGAGATGCTTAATTCCCATAATTCAACACTATCAGTTACCCCTCAGGACGCATTGCTGTCTGCCAGAGCCACTCCGGACTGGCCAGTGGTGGATACTACACAAATGTTTTCAGTGACTCCCCTGACCCAACTGTTGTTGCTGCCTTCACTGCTTTTGGACATGGTAGTGTCTGTCATTATAATAGGTAAGTGCTGCTGAGACAGTCCATAAGACTTATTTAATGGACCCTGATTTCGCACTAATACTGCACTTTTTTCTTTAAATGAGCATCAGTTAGTCCGGGATAAGTGTTAGTCAGAGCCTTCAAAACTAATGCATAGACTCAACACAAATTGAAAATGAGTGGAGCGTAAGACAATATTTTGCTTTTCTTATCACAGCACAACTTACAATCCTTTACTTAGGCTTTCCACTGATATTGGAGCAGTTTATTTGGTGTTTTCTTACTGTTAGTCCACAAGATAAAAAACCATTCACACGATACCTGAAGGAACGAAATGTGATTTTCCTCATCCCCACACAAACATGGCTGAAATCCCGAAGACTCTTTAAAGCCTGCCCTCCCTTGCAGTGACAAGGTGGCTGTGGTGTTCGACCACACAGGGGGGATGATGTGTGAAGAGGACGGCACGGTGAGCAAAGAGTGGAAGTGGACCCAAGGAGCTAAACTGAACGAGCCAGTCGTGACCCAGGTATGACGGAGGAGATCCGTCCCTCTTGCCACCAATGTGTTGATGCAGCTCATTGACAGAAATAGAGCTCAGAGGGAATTACATTGCAGGAGAAAAAGCTAAAAGTCCATAAGGAAGACTTATGGTTCACCACAAGCCTGTACTAGGCTATGGAAAAGAGATGGACATATGGAAGAAATGATTTCTTGGTGTGATCTTTTGCTTTTGCGTTTACTAACTTAGTCTTGGAATATATATGTAAATAATTTAAAATCCACATTTTCATACATAGAAAGTTTTGTGAGGAACGCCATGAACACCTGTAACGCCATTCCATCCTCCTGGGTTTTGTTCTGCCTTTGAGATGTTCTGTCTTTTCTGCAGGTTAATGATTTCATCACTATTCGAGTTGCCAGCCCATTCTCAGCAAGCCTTTCTTACCAGGAACGCCAGGAGACGATACAGTTGTCTCTTTCTCCGCTGGCCAACACCACTCCGCCAAAGAACAGTGACCTGGTGAGGCTTCTGTCTGTGCAGAGCGACGTTCTCTCAGATTTCATTACATTAAGCACAGTGGTGCTCTATCTGAACGCCTGCCTATCCCATTAGGGTCAGATTGTGAGTGAAGGAAAATTCTCCTCAAACACAGCTCGACAGCTTTCGAAGGCTAACAGAAAGAAGACGAAGGAACTTGAGGCGAGGAAAAAATTCATGGCGAAGAACCCTGTAAGTATATTTCTAAAAAAATATAACCCGATAAAGAAAGATGTACTGTGTACCCATGAAACAATGATGTCATGGACCTGAAATAATTATTGTACACCACACACAAGGTGAAAAATTATACAGTGATATGGAGCATTAAGTTAAGAAAAATAATTTAATACACAGAAAAATACAAATAAGAATTTCTTTAGAACCAGATGGTCACTAAATCTTCAAGTGCGTTCATGGAGATGGTGAAGACGTTGGAAACCCTGGAAGAAGAGCCTGGTTACCAGCGGGGAGTAAAGGCTGCTCGGGAGCTGAAAAAGCTCCAGAGGAAGATCCAGAACATTCTTGACGACTGGATGGAGCACTATCGCATTGCTACAGGCAGGTCAAAGCATGTCTTCACTCCTCAGCACTGCCAGAGAAGAAGAATACAGATCTTACCCAGACTCATTCCGAACAGATTTGTCCATTAGAGTGAGATGTTGTTGATGTTGTTGATGTAGCGTTAAACCACACTAGCCAAAATATCGGGAACTCCCGTCAAATAATACTGTACTGTATGGCGTATCTCTGAAAATGGCGAGGACGGCCTGAAAAGTATGTGGTATGTATTAACAAAGATTTGAAAAATCTGCAGTATCAACCTTAGATGAGGTTGTGATGAGTGGGATGGGGTTTGGGATTCAACAGGACATTCTGCCAGGTTCACTAGGATGCAATAGGTTTTGACACCTGGAATTAATTCTGACCAGCAAAATGCTGCTCAAGCATGACCTTCCTCTAAAAATATCCAATCATTTGACCGACAGCTCCTAATATTTTGGGTAATTTTAGAGTAATTACTAATTTATAGGTTGCATTACTTCACATTTGTCCGTATTCTGTATCCCATCTTTTTTCCAAAGACTCACTTGAATGGAGAGATCAAATCTTTTTTATCCTTTATCCGCTCCAATTTTTCACTGGTTTGATTTCCCTGCAGGAATCAATAGCCCAGATATTCACAAAATGTCTGATGTCCCACAAAAGATTCTGCTGAAACGCAAAACTCGGTCAGCAGCTTTGCCCACACTGCCTCCCGTTGGTGTGGAAGAAACATTACAACCCGCAAATGGCAACACTGAGCAGAGTCCCTCTCGTTACCTGTCGGCACCAGCACGACACAACCTGTGGGACCATCCCAGGAGTGCTTCCAAGTCACCAAGGTAATTGGAAGCTGCATCCTGGATCTCAGTGGGCAAACGTTTGGATGTTTGGGTAGAGCTATCTGGTTTAAAAACACAGGAGACGGTTAATTTCCTTAGTCCCATATCCATTGCTGAAGGTCATGAATCACGTCAATGGCTTGCGTTTTAGTATTACTATACAAGTGTTTCAAGATCACATTTGTTTTTTCCGCAATCAATGTTGTTTTTCCATAAGGTGTGATATCTTCCGGCATACAGTTTTTGAAAACAGGGGTTTCTGAATTAAACCTCAGAAATGAATGTTGTTCATAGTCACTTTTCATTTAGTTTTTTTTTTGTGTGTGCCAGAAAACAATATCTGAACTGGAACATCCAGCCCCACCTTAAATCCTGGTTTTAACTCGGTAATGAATAGTTAATCTTTTATACCAAATGCTTTTCTTTAAAGCTGACTGTGGGCGAAGTTTTAAGAGAGAGGGTCTGTGTCGTGACTGAATCAGAGTGGTAACTGAAGTCCAGTGTCTGTCTTCTCTCTAGGACAATCTCTACGGTGCAGAAATACGAGAAGGAGGAGCAGAATCTTATCTCTGAATCCGGAGCTCTCCGGGGTCCCAGCATCCCCAGCCTGGAGTAAGGAGACCTCTCTGGAAATCTCACAATGGGATGCCACTTAATTATTGTGCTTTTATAACTTCCACATGGCCTACAATGCATTTACAGCAATTTAACGAGTCTCCCAACACAAGTGCTTTGTGTTCTGTAATTACATTTTTAGAATTCTTTAAAAGAAGTGTTCTCTTTAATGTTTTAAATATCATTAGGTCATGAGATTTTCAACATGTGTTTCTCTGTGGTCTGCTGCTTTTGGGGACTCAGTGTTAAGAAGGAGACATTCCAGTGGTTTCAGTTGTTAGTCAGTTACTATTAGGCTCAACAGGAGGAGATCCTGGAGTCAAAGAGAGGCAGGCTACTGTGTCGAAAACATCACTGTCAAAGTATTACCAGCTTCCTCTTTTTGATGTGATGATTATGTACTGTTTTAAAACATTATATGCCATTTCTCTAATTTTGTATAATTTCAGAGATATAGCTATTTGATGATGAGGTATTTCTCCTTGAGTGTGAGTGGTTTCCACATGGTCACTAAGCACACCGACAGTATGTGTCACTGTCCGCAACCGAATTGGCAAAGAAGACATAAAAATCCTAATAATTTCCATTTGTAGCCTCAGCATTGTTTTGCAGAAGTGCTTTAAAAAGAAACTGCAGAGCTTTTAGCTGCCCCTCACGTGTGAACCTTTTACGGTCAGCACCCATTTTTAGAGCGAGCCCTGACACAGCGAAACTGATCAAAAACAAAGCAACTGCAGTCTTAAGGACAGGCTTTCACTGTGAAGAGCTGAAAACAAATCTTGCTTACATCGTGTGCAAAAGCTGTGTTCTGCTTAGAGAAATCGAAATCCTCTGGTGCATCCCAAAAAACAAGCACGTGTATTGATCCTGGGGCCTCAGAGAAATATCCCAGTGGATATAACCTCCCCATTCCCAACAAGGCCTAACATAGAGATAGAGCGTCCTGGTTCTGAAAATGGCAGAGTACTCACAGAACGTACAGTTCCAGGTGTCTTACAAACAACATGGGAATGCAACGGCACCAGACTACTGAATCCATGAAAGGGTTCAAAAACTTTTAGCTCGTGGGGTGACTGTTTTTCTGTTCCCCAAGTCCTGTAGTGTTCAGAAGTCCCGAGAGAAGCCGAGCGCTGCCCCTCTCCTACCAGCCCTGTCCCGTGCTGCTGAGGGAGGCAATGCTGGGGGAGGGGGAGAGGCGGATGTGCAGGTGCAGCAGCCACCAGATGCCCTCCCTGACAGACCTGGAGCTGGACGCCTTTGTCCGCGGCCAGGCGCCATGTGGCCACCAGATCCTGGTGGTGTGCGTGAGCTCTTCCGCCAGGCCGCAAGCCCAACCCGGCATGGGTGTGCTGGAGGAGCTGTACGAGAAGAAGAACAGAAACAGGAGCATGCCTTGCACACAGGTACTGCAGCTCCAGCGTAGACACGGGACCACTGCGGTTTCACCCCTGGCCCAGGCAACTAGGAAGACCCTCATCGCTTGTGTAGCCACTGGGGTCATTAATATTTGCGTTGGCCTCCTTAACAAACAAAGTGAACTGTAACTTCAACAAGAAAAATATGTTTCTTTGTCTGGGGATATGATAAAATAGCATATCATTTAATCTTTTCTGAGTTCTTGTTCTCCCAAAACGATTACACTTTTAACCCTTCGGCAATCTGGAAACTGCAGGACTTGCAGGACCACAAACCTCTTTGGTACTGTATGTACACTGCAAGATCTCTGTGTTCACCTTGATTTTGGTATGTCACAGATGTTCTGGGACTATTTATCTGTGAATTTATCATTTATCGTGGAGCCATTGCATGCTGTAGCTCAACGATGGGGATGAAAGCAAGTTTTTACTCCAGCATGACATATTATATACTCACTGGAATCTGTCCATATTCATGTTTAGATTTTATCTGCACTGATCATTTCCAACATGTCAATTTGAGAGCATTCCACATGTCTGACACACGTCCTCTGCCAACAGTGTCGTCTGGACTCCTTTCGGTTGGTAAAGTACGATGTCTTCACTGCCGACACTTGTGCTGGCTCAAACCCCTGTCTGCTGGTGGAGCGTCACAACGTGGCTCCGGGGATGTTTTTGGTACGTCACCAGACCGTTTTCTGTCCCAGCGCAAAATTCCTTTGCTTTTACCCTTTTCCTTTTCCTACCCGGGTTAAATTTCCAACAGATATCATTCCCACTTACGTTGACTTAGAACCCTACTAACGCCCATGCTGTACAGTAATGATTAAAGGGATTTCACCGCATTGATATTTTCATGCAAATGATAACTAATGCCTATTTTTGCTTTTTCCTCTCTCTCATATGTAATGGCTCTTTCTCTTACTTTAGAAATCTGAAGTCTGGATAGAGATAATCTGAAACCAAATCCTTATTCAAAGAGAATATAGCAGAAGGATATTGCTATGTTGTGTGGTAGACTGAAACGGTATGAAGTACCGGTAGAGACTAGTGAGCTCACCAAACGTCTCGGTAATGACTTTACCGGTAAAGTGCATACTAAAAGAGCATTTAAAGACCATCTGATCTAAGAAGGTGTAACATACTGATATGTAATCTAGAAAAACAAACAACCAAGAGGCCATGAGTGGAAACAAGGTGGAGTTGCAATTAAAAGTTAGTGTCTTTATTCCATGATGGAACAAGCTACCCAGCCATGGTGTTGAAGCAGACACCCTGGCTTCCTTCAAGAAATCTTCAGATGGGATCCTTCAGTCAATTATTATTACCAAAACAACCAAACTGAACTTACTGTTTACTGTTTAGTTTACTGTCTAACTGCCAAAATGGCTACAGTCTTCTCCATTGTAACCATGTCCATCTGCAGTATACCCGGAGCTTTGTGAATTTTTGTAGCCTACAGAAATCTAAAGTAACAGATTAAAACACAAACAAAATACAATTTTGATCATCTGTTTTCAAGGTACCACATAAGTTTTGTACACATTACATAGAAATTACAAACTAAAAATGTAAAACAAAGTATACACTCATTGTTTCTTGTCATGATGACATACAAGTGGCCTGTAGGTGGCACAATTACAGATGCCAGAACTGAAGGTGAATAGGTAGAGATCTGAAAGAAGCTGTAAGACATTAACCCTAAAGAAGTTACTTTAACATTTATTACTCTTACTTTCTGCATTATATTAGCATTTGTATGACAGTCATAAATACAATTTCTAAACACTTTGCAGATAAGTACTAACTGAATCGGCCCAAGCTTGAAATGCAAGATGTTTTTGTAGTTTCACTTTACACATTGTTTATAAAGTAAAACAAAGTTACTGTGTAGTACAGTATGTGTACTTGATAGTACCTATCATGTACAGGAGCAAGAGTTCAACAGTGAAAAAATGGCTTACTGAGTCAACACAATTTCAAATGTTTTTATTGCACAACACAGATTTTTTTTCTACCACACGGATTCTGATATTTATGAGTAGTGTCATGAATTCTGAAGTGTGACTTCCTTAAAATGTGACTTCTAGTGAAGTGATTCAGTTGTTCCAGTGCCAAGAAAAGAAGTCATCCAAAGTCCAGCAGTTGTCTTGATTTTTTCTTAATGATTAACTACAGCGCACTGGATGTGCTCGATTCTCACCAGAAGAGGCAGCACTGTCCACTGATTTAGTGAGCTGAGACGTTTGTGAGGCATGGCCAGTACTAACCTGTCAGCGCTTTTACACATTGCCTCCCAGAACGCAGGAGGTGCAGACATTTAAAAAAATGTGTTGTGCATTATATCATATTGTCCTGTGAACACTGAAGCTGAAACTCTTAGAAGAATGTTGGTTTTGTAAAGAGATGTAGAGCTGTGGAGGCTTTATTGAGATACTAGATGAAAGAATAAAAAAAAATAGAGGAAAACGAAATAGAATTGATCTGAAAAAAAAAACAAAATGTTGCTACTGATGAGTTTGGAGGAGACTTGAGAAGCAAATAACAAAGCTTTCCGAACAGGGTTAAAAGCGTGATTTGTTTGGGAGTTGGCGAGTTAAAGCGTGAGTTATCCGGGGGTTTGCTAAGAGTAACATGACCCAGTTCCTGTTGTCGGTGCCCTGTTGTGCCGGATGGAATGGGAGAAATGCTGTCAGTGTCTCAGGGCAGCTGTCTTTCTGAGCTTCTAGCAAGGGCCTGCTGCCAAAAACACAAACCACCTTCTGTCACCAGGCTGTCCTGAGCGCTGAGGAGCTCATTTACCCCACAGAGTGAACAGAGTTTTCCAGAACTGCGTGACCTGGAGTGTTTCGTGTTCAAATTGTGACATGTCTGTATATATAATCAAACTGTTCCTTTTTCAATAAAAAAATCTTATGATAAGAAACATAACACTCATGATAAACAAACTACTAACTTATACACTGTAATATCTCTTTTCCTTTGAACATCTGCATTAATTACAATTTCGCATTACTTCATGTTTGTCAAGTGATTTCAGCCTAAAGAAAACAGTCCCAATTCCGAAATCTCCTAGTTTAAATATATGAGCAATACATGTTTCTGTAATGTACATCCTTTTTAATGTCTTTCAAATAGAACATCCTGGTTTCATTGTGGTAACCTGAATGGCTTGTGTACCCTGCCTTGTGTCCATTACTGCTGGGATAGGAAGCCCTGTATTGGATAAAAGGGTTAGAAATTGGATGGGTAGAAGATTATTTATAGCTTAGAATATATACTTTCAACAATTCAGGATTTGCACGAGTGTAGTCATGTTAGGAAATAGGATGTCTCTTGCAGTTTCAGTTTGGTATGTGTGAGTGCACGTTAAGCGTGAAGTCATTTGGCCTCCAAGAGCTATAATCAGGGTTTTTCCTGTGGCTGGATTTAAAGCAGATCCTTTATAAATATTTTATAATGCCTATCAGGCATTCAAAAGCTAAGCAGGCAAAAAAATCAGCACATTTTTCTTCAGTTACTGATTTAAAGTAAGACAGCTTTTGATAAAGAAAATGTAAACACACTTCTCAGCTGCAGGTAGTATCTGTAAGTTCCTATTATAAACAGCCTGCACCAATTCACGGTCTTGCTAATCTGGTTTATGTTTTTTCATTGCTGTGCTCTAATTATAAAGCTTATTTACATCATGTTAACCGGACTGTAACGTGCTAGTGAAATTTAGATAGGGAGTCTTCTAGCTCTGCACACTCCCATTTCTGGCATTAACCCAAACTGACGTTCTTTTTCAGTCCTGATATTTTTCTCTTCAAGTGATTCATGGCCCTTTGCAGTAGCTTAGAAGCAGTAACCAAACAGAAGAACGCAGGGAAGCTTACAAACCAGAGGTCACTTGGCTCATCTTGCTTAAAGCTTCAAGAATTCCGTCAAGCTTTTTCCTGAAGTCCTCTTCAGTAACATTAGGAGTTGTTTTCCGAATCCCACAATAAAGAAGACTCTGTATTATCAGTTCTGTGTGACCTATTGTGAGATTTACAGTGGAACACAATAAAAGAAAAAACAGTATCTCATGGAGCAAAGATTAAAATTAAGTTTATTTGCCATACGCACAAGTGCAATGAATTGCTTATGCTTCTAAAGCAATAGTGCATAATATAAGCAATTATAAAGCCTCAGTTTTTAGTCACCAATATCTGTGGAATCAAATAATATTGATCACCATTTTCCAAATGAAGACTATTTAAGTTTTTAAACCTCAAGCTTCTCTAACGCCTTCCGATGTGTGCGTGCTGTTTGAAATCCTGTCTGAGCACCACCCTGGCTTAGATGAGTCCAGGAAACAGATTAACTTCATCAAGTGGTGCCCCTGAGCACCTGTATTTCCACTTGATACGCTTGAAGTGGCTCTGAAGGGTTTCTGTTATGTTTTTAGGCAGATGTTTTGTCCTTGGTCTGTCGTTTCTGGGCAACTGGTTAATGGTGGACTTCTCTGGTTTATTGCTTTCCACAAAAGACTCAAGGAGAAGAGTCTTAAATACCTTCTTTTAGTTTGAATTTGTATTAATGTTGCATGTAAAGACTTGATGTTTTATATAGCTAATGTGGGATATGCACAGAAAGTACTTGTTTTGGTATTTGAAGTATTTACTACTGTGTTATTTGTTTTTAAACTTTTAAAAGTCCCCAGCTTTAAGAAATAAGAAACCACTAATGCAAGTGTGGGAAATGTAGCTTTTTAGGTGCCCTTGGGAATGTACAGACATTTTGTCTAGTGCTGTTCCAGTAAGTGTATTTTGGCTGATGGATCTGCCTCATGAAATGACTATTAATACAATATCCCAAGTTTAAGGGTGTAATTTGTCTGAAGCATCTAATGTTACAACAAAAACATGTGGTATGTGAGTGACTGCCTTTCTGTAAGGTGTTGGATTGCTGGAAAATGTAATTTTCCTCAGTTGTTTCCTTGTTCGCAGATGTACATTAGTGGAAAGCTCCTGTTTGCTGACTACATCTTCAATGGATACAGCAGCTCAGTGAAGGATCTTCAGAAGCAGATTGCCAAAACACGTGGAGACTATCGTATGGGACACTGCCTTCCCGCCGATTTTAGATTCAGGTATCCCGCAGCTTCTTATGAAAAGGCCCAATTATGAAGTCAGTGCGACTCCTTTCTAATAAGCAACCAGTCGTATGTGAATTGCTTTGTATTGGAGAGACGAGTAAGGAATATGAGTATTGAGTATATGCAGTTTTTCTTTTTGCAGCGGCATCTTGTCTTTAAACTCAGCAGATTAGAGGGTATGACCCCATGAGCTTTCTTTGCCTTGGTAAAGCTCCTTGGTAACAGCTCCCTCTAAAGCCATTTTAAGTGATGAAAAAGATTGCCAGTTGCGTCAGTGCCAGGTGTTGTAGGAAGTGTTCCCAGAACGTGTTTTCAGTCACTCACATAGCTTGAGGATAATACTGTAGTAAAAAAACTCCAGCTCAGCTAATAAAGGTGCTTGCTCATAGCGTGGACTCATGGTTGGCTTGCTGCCCGTACCAAGTATGGAGTGCCACAAGGACGGTCTGAGCTAGAAGCTGCCCAAGATCTATATGGTTTCCTGCACAGCAGAGACTCCTGGGATCAGCAGGGTGCCTGTGAGCTTGCAGTAACGTCAGTGAGAGAAACTCCTCTCCTCCAATCTCCTTTTAGTCATTCGGTCTGATACTAGTGAATGAGATAGAGGGACGAGTATTTGGCGAGACTTCCCGGGCTGAGGGAGTGGCAGCCCAGCGGTGCGGATGAAGCTGCCCAGACACCCTGAGTGTTGCGGGGAGTGGGCTAAGGGGGCTAAGGACTTGCTTGAAGGGAGTAGATAGTGAGTCGGGAAAGAGGCATGTGAGATATGAGAAGGGAAGTCCTGGTTAGGTGGCTTATATGTACTGTATGAAGACGAGCGGAAGTGTGAGAGATTGCGTTCTAACCTTCCAACCAAACGTCTGTTACACAGGCCATGTGTCAAATAATGAATGACTTTAGGGAGTGCGTGCAAGGATCCTAATTCTCACCAGGTGGTAGTACAGCTGTATCTGTAAACTGAGCCGAGTGGCAGTGAGCAGTTATAAGTTGGGAGGACATATAAATAAAAAATACTGTACGTAGGGATTTGAAATAAAAAATGTGCCTCTGCTCCTATTGTGCTTAGTAAAAACAAAATCTAGACCCCTTTTTAAAAATGTATTAGGGAAATTGTTCAACTAGTTTTAATACTTACAGAACGCCAGGTACTGCACTGGAATTTCTATCATGTTTTTTTACAACACCCCAGCACATCTAAGATTTGCTGTCATACTGAAGATTTAGAATGCAGCTTGAAAATCTTCCTGACGAAGGACGTATTTCTGCTTGTCAGTCCTCAGAGGGAGGCACAGGAAGGAGTCGGTCCTCCTGTGTCCCAGGATGGTCCTGACCAGAGGGAGCAGTGCCATTCCAGAGCTGCTGTCCCATCAGAGGACGCTCACCTACAGGCCACTGACAGGTACCTGGTCACTGTTCTTCTCACAGAGTGGGTTAGACTGACTTTACACCCACCTGCGGCCACAAGAAGAATGTTGTCTGTGCTATAAAACACACACGTTAGAACAGTGATGAATCAGTGTTGAAAAAACGACAACTCTTAGTAGTTTTACAAAATTGGAAAAATCTGAAAATATTTGCACAGAAGCAAAGACAAATTATTTAGTCTGCAGTGAAACAAGTGGTATTAAATGTGTCCCTTTTCTCAAATCCTAAATGATAGGTCGAACTAAAAATTTGCAAAGGTATCTTTCTCTTTTACAAAGGGCCAATTCTCAATTCTCAGTAATTCTCAGTAATTTTCAAGTGTAAAGACTTTCCAGTTTGAAAGATACTGAAAAAATCTATTTAGTGCTGTTGTAATATAGTTTTAAATTTCTAGAGCACAAAATCTGCCTATTTTTGTTGGTTCTTGCTGGTGTAACTTAATGGTGGTACATTGTGCCATAAAAGTATGGAATTCAAGTTTGCAAAGCAAGAACAACAAAAAAGGCAGCTTGTAATGTTAGTATCACAGCCTCTACATTTAATGTATAGGAATCTCAGCAGCTAAGCAAAGCTGGGCCAGGTAAGTACTGTGATGAGAGACCTCCAAGAGCAACCAGGGTCCTGCTACAGGTTGTGGTGGTGGCACTCTCCCCCATGAGCCCGTATTTTCAAGCCATCGCCCCAGTAGAACTGTTCAGCAGACTAGTTATTATCCTGGGTGTCCTGGGTAATAGAACTCCTGAATTGCACAGTCTAATTCACCTAAAGTACCCTTTTGTTTCAGACAGAGGTTGTTTCAGCTCGTGAATAGTGGACAAAGTGTTTTTTATAGGCTACATCCTTTAAACCCTATTTCTGCAATATTTATAATCAGTAGTTTTGTTAATTCAAAAGTCATTATATAATTGAATAAATGCAGTCTAAGCACCAAAATATACAGTACATAATAAAGCAGGAATTCTTTATTGCATGGGTTATTTAACTTTGTAATTTAGAGATAAAAACCAAACACTTGGTTCCACGATTGAAGAAGTGAGATGCCCAATGTAAAAAGCTCTTGGAGGTTTTTCCAACCACAGTATAAAGTCTAACAGTTGCAGTATAAATTAGTCCCACAGGCATGGGAAACAGATTCCATCTTGGAGTCAGAAAAGCTCAGGACCTCACCAGCGATCCGGTAGATCACACAATTACAGATGCAATCTCAAGTAACCGGCCTGAAAATGGGTCTCTGCTGGGGGTTCCTCCCCACTGCAAGGCCAGCATCTGCAGTATCTGATGCCGGTTCCAGCTGTTACTGTTCTTCACTCCTGCTTGCTAGCCCAGGAACAGGTGAGGACAAACACTTTGCAGTTCCTTCTTGTGTTACAGATTGCCGTCTGCCCAAGAGTTTGTAACCTACACCATGTCCAAGAGAAGCCACCTGCTCTGCGTCCAGAAGAGCCCCCCAGCCCCCTTCCCTTCCCTTCGCCCAGAGAAGTGCCTGCAGAGTCCCAGGCCTCACAGGCCGATGGCCGGCTTCTCTCCCAGGCCCTGACCTTCTCTCACCACGGCTCGGAGATGCAAGACCGACCGGCGTACTGCACCAGTGGCACCCTGCGTTTAGATTTGACGCCAAAATAAAATCTGCATCTATAGCCTAAGGCTTAATGTTTGTGAATGCTGTGCGTCTGGAACCAAAGACATCAAGGAGTCTACTAAAATCCATCCTTGCTTCGCCAAGCTGTGTTAGAAGAAAAGTCAGACAATATTATTTCAGGTCATGCAGAATTATACGAACTGAGTATTTGAAAGCAGGCATGATGAACCAAAAGCACCAAAATAAAGACATTTTAAATGTAATTAAATCTTCTCAAGTAGGTAGCTGCACCTGTGTGTGTAGGCTGCAGAGGAACAGATAAAGGTTTGTTCCATGCTGAAAAGAGAAGAAAAGACACAACATTTTGGCTGTGGAGTCTTCTGAGGGTGTATCAGGTCTTTTTTTTTATTTGTTACAACTGAGGGAATTCTTTGATGTCATTTAAAAGATTACTTCTATAGATTTGCTTGCTTGGTAAAAAAATAAATAATATATTGCTATTTTAATGTATCATTTACATTTACAGTGATGACCATTTTTATAGTTTACCCCTACTGAAGAACAAATCTGCTTATAGTAAACATCACGTTAAAAGCAGGAAACTAATTTCTGGGTATATGTTACCTAGAACAGTGTTAAACAAGAAGTTTGCTTGTCCTGTGGAATACAATTTAAAAATGGATGGTGAGATGAACATTTTTTAAATAATATGTCTAAAAACAGGACAAAAACAACTCTGTCCATTTCCCTCAACCCACCAAAATCAGCACCATAAACCCAGTTTCTTCCAAAACAGAAACACAACTATGATATATATAGGAACAAGTAATAGGTTTATACCATGCTGAAATAAAGAAGAAAGAAAACACAATGATTCAGCCATGGGGCCTTCTTCAGGTGTGAGGGTCTTTAATAAATCTCATTAATTTAGGAGACGCATCCATTCTTTAACTCAGGGGATCTCCAGCCCTGGTCCTGGAGAGAACTCCAGTCTCTAAATCTTACTCCCTCTAAATAGTTTCTAAATTTCTTAATTTAACAGGGTCTGCTCACACCTGAAGAAGGCCCCATGGCCGAAATGTTGCATTTTCTTTCTTTTTTTTTTCAGCATGGAATAAACCTATTACTTGTTCCTTTGAGCCTACACATGCCGATGCAGCTACCCACCTGAACTAGGATATACTGTATATATATATACACACACACACTGTAGGAAAGGTTTGCACAAATGATTTCAATGAATTTGCCGAAAATGAGATATTTCGTGGCTTTAATGTGTCCCTCTAGTGAAAAGACAAACTCGTAGTGATACAGTATTTCCTTCTCCAGATCTGTGTGCAGTGACGACACGTGTTTTGTCCCCCAGCTGAAATGTTGGT